AGTAGATCATAGAGCCTGACTGGTAAGGTGTTCGCGTGGCCAAGCTGGTACAGGCGTGGACTACGACGCGGAGGATCTGCGTTCGATTCTCGGAGCTGCCGTCGACGTTTGCAGATAGTTCATAGCGGTGAGTAGTTTGATGTTTATATTTCCTCGATAATTGAATTTGTTAGTTTCTAAATACCGTTGTTAATGTCAATACGATATGAATGTCAAAAACCAATGCCAATACAACCTGTTATTGCAAGAGGGAAGTCTAGGTGATTTCAGAGAGAGAAGGAAAAATTTTTTAAATCGTTGACAAACGGTAACGCGTAACTGCCGCATACACTGCCAGAGCCGCCCCAGAGCGGGCGTTGGGCTGGTTTGAGCAGGCGGTGCTCAGTGAGGGCTGCGTGTCGGCAGGACAGATCACACCTATAGGCAGGTACTCAGAGATGAATTAGCGCTGCTACGCGGCTGGCAATATCGTCTCTAATGCGGACATTTCTGCTCTATCGCGACTCTTTCGCGTCCCTACGTCGGCTCTGCAGCCGGCGACGGCCTGCTCTATTCCCTGCCCTAAATTTTAACTGGGAATGTTTCCTCGACAGGTGTTGCGTCAACTCGTGAGCTTGAATACGTATCGACGTTAGGATTCTCTGGGAGGTTCTTTGTTGATGACTTTTCATCAGATTTGCCAGTAGCAGTTCCAAGTTTTATTCTCTTCACTGCATCTAGTCTTACAAATCACTTCTCGGCAATTATCTGCCCGACAGCGCTGATTTATTTTTGTGGGTTTCTTTCGTTTGCACCATTTTTCACTAGGTTCGGTGTTTACTTGAGTGTTTCTTTTTCGTTTTATTTTCTGGTGATTTACAGAGGCGAATTCGGCCACACGAAGTTTACTCTCGGTGTAGATCGTTTCAACAAATGCACTTACTGTGGTTTTCTTCCCCCGCAGTATCTTTTACTTTACAATGCCGTGCCAGGACTCCACCAAGCCATTTGTGATCCTTGGTTTATACAAACTGGACCATAAAGGTGCCAGACTCACAATAAAGGTCAGAAAATGTTCATTTAACTTCGGTGAGAAAAGGATGTTCTTCTTCACGCCAGAAGTAGGCACCGATGAACGTACTTCCTCTGTTATTTTGCAGAAAGTTCTTCCACTGATTGTAGTTTGGCGCAATGTCTTGCTGTCGGGATGTTGTAGCTCAATTTCATCTACGTTAATGTCTTCTTCTACTTCCTCAATTTCTTCGTCAACGTCCAAAGATTTGACCATTTTTTCAACATTTTTATCCAAGTATTCGCTCTGCAATAGCGTTGCTAAATCTTTGTAAGCTTGGCGCAGAATTTCTTTCGTTGTAGCAGCGACCATGATTCCAAAAAGAATTTTTGGATCTTTGTCCCGTGCTCGCAGCAGAGGTAAATGTCTGTTGCATTGTCGAGATACATCCTTCGTGAAGTGCGAATGGCACAGTTTGATGATAGGTTTAATATTGTTACAGGAATGTTTTGTCCATAGATTGTCCAAGTATTCGTTTAGTGAGCCGAAATTGAATGCAGAAACTATAGCGTTTATGTTTGCATAGCTATGGTCGGTTACTATTACATCAATAATTATACGTCGCCCATGTACTTTCTTGAAGTTAAATTGTAATTTTCTGATCATCGCGTGTCATTCCTCTTCGTTGTTTACTTGACTAAGCTGGCTTATTGCAGTGAGTGGTGTCTTACTGTTGTCACTCTGAAATACAAGTGCCGTATACAAGAACGGATGTTCATGTTTTCCATTTTATAAGGCCATGTAGCGACCATGTATATATATTTAATTCAGTTACCCCCGTAACTCATTTTCGAGGAACGTTGCTAGCCTAGTGAATTTTAGCAGAGTTACCCATTAACTCTGACTCAACATTATTATCCATGTTATTACCTTAAGCAACATTATCAATTAGTAACTGCAGTTGATTTTCTGTTCGATATTATTAGGCTACATATTAATATTATTAGCACCGACCTAGGATATTACAACTTCAAGTAACTCCAGTTGTCATGATCATTTGCATATCTGTAATACCGTTCTTAATCTGGCCTCCGGACCTTGACCCAGTAAATTAGGAGAACTCCTACTGTGTTTCATTCCCCAATACGAAACACAATTGTAAGACGCTAACGCAGTCTGGTCTCTGACTTACATGCCTTAGCCGAACCAAAGGGCGTTTGGTACAACCAAACGTTTGGCACGAGTCACAGACCTTAAGGGACTCAATACCGCGCTGCTAGCATTCCCACGTCTTACAGCCACCTGTGCTGTCCATATGAACCACTACATTTACCAACCGCTCTTTCTGAAATTTCACACTCATACGTAAAAGGTCAAAAAATTTGCTTGTATGGATTTTTCGAGTAAAATAAAAGAAAACGTGAAATTACTAGAAAAGGCTAAGAATGGGATACTCTAAAAAGTTAATAACTTTTGCAAATCACACGCTACAGTATCGAGTACCCTAAATTTGCATTTAGGGTACCAGCATTCGTCTTAAGACTTATCTTATCCAATTTAACGTATATAATAAGCTATAAGTGGAACTTTCTAGATATTTGTTTATTATTTATTTATTATATTTTTAATTATATTTATAGATATATTAAATCAATATTTTATATAAGTTCAAAACTGCATTACGCACAAATTATTGCATGCACATCCGTGATATTTGCTTTTTTGAACACTCATCGTTTGTAGCTTTCAAACGAGAGCGAACACTTTGCAATTAACACAATTAATGATCTATGAATACCTATCTATCTATGAATACCTATCTATCTATGAATACCTATCTATCTATGAATACTTATCTATCTAATCTATCTTTGTACATATTGTTAAAAAAAGTTCTTTTTATATATTTTTGAATTTGCTTTACGCAAAAACTAGAGCACGCTCATACATGCGGTTTGTTGTGTTAGACGCGCCTTTTCAGCAGCTACAAAATGAGCTGAGAACACGGAAATGTCAAAATTTTCTATATTTCACCAAGTCGGTCCCCTTAATGTGTGATTTGATATCCAAACCTGAATCATAGAAACGCGCTAGATAAACACCTTCATTTTTGCTATTCCGTACCTTTAAGACATTAACTAACACGCGGACTATAACAACTATACATATCTATATTTTTATTCTTATTTAATACTTACACTTTCCATTACACTTTATTAAATACTGTTAGCGAAGTAGAGTGCTGCACAGTGTAAGATGTTCAGTGGCAAACTAAATGGATGAACTTCTTGCAAGATTTTAGTCGCGTATACCATGCTGCGACTCGTGTACATTTGTTTGATAGGATTGTATACGCTGAGCCAGCAGGGCGCTTACTGTATACGCTGAGTCAGCAGGGCCCAAAGCATGGCACTTATCTGTTACCTTATTGGTACATTAGCCCCGTACCCGATTAATAATAAGCCAAGCGATATAGTGATATATAAAGCCTTTAGCTCATATAGCTTATATATACTGGTAGGAATTAGAGTGCATTGGTGTATTTTCAAAGCCACCGCAATATTTACAGTGGCTGTTTTAGCGCAGTTTATACAGTAGCTGCCGCAACAACAGTAAAGTAATAACCACTATTTAGAATTTTTTTCATTCCACCATCGAAACGTATTGCAGAATTCGGAAGTGATGTTTTAATGCATCTGCAGAATTGTTAAATGGGCAGGACAATGTAGTTCAGACAAATTAAATTTTACTCAAAATAGAAATGCAAATACATATTTGAAATTTGTAACAAAGAATGAAGTTTTTGATAATGGACTTTAATATTAGGCTTGCCAGCCTCAAGAATAAAGGCATTAGGGCGGGACGATATAATTCTCAAATTTCATGGATTATTATTATCCGTTAATGACAACGTAGTTGTAACGATACGTTGCGATGCGATGAATGAACGCGGACAATATCCACGGGAAATTTGAGCAGTTGTTGAAGTGACTTCGGTCAAATATCCTCTAACAAGGAGTTTGGAGCAAATTGTGCAACTTGTAACTGAAGGTATATGTTATTCGTGTTAATAAAATCTGAACTTGAACTGTAAGTAAATCATACTGAATGGTTCTGAAACTGGTAATCAATTTTGATCCGACCGAGTACCAATGTCAAATGGTTAAAGTCATTACGCTTCTCTTGTAGAATATGCGTAGTTTAAGCGAAAATATGGGAACGCAACCGTGAGTAACAAAAGTGACTCGTAAACAGGCCCTGGGCCTAACGCCAACCATCAGCATGCAATATCTACACATAGCCTCAGATCAATGAGCTGTGGGTAACTCTGGCTAACAGTAAATCCGCTTTGCACAACACAGCCACTGCTTCACAGCGCCGGAGCACAACTGGCCGGAGCGCGACAGGCCCTACCGCAACAGAGGCGCAGCCTCGCAGGTTAGGTTAGGTTAGGTTACGTTAGGAGTAGCCTGTTGCGGTAGGGCCTTAGCTATAAAATGAGCCTAAACTTGTTTCTGAAATGTTTCATGGTAAGAAGTTATTAACAAAAAACGCTCAAAACCGTCCCTTTTTACCCCGTTTGCTTTTGACGGTATCTTATATATCTTATATGTTATTCGTGTTAATAAAATCTGAACTTGAACTGTAAGTAAATCATACTGAATGGTTCTGAAACTGATAATCAATTTTTGATCTGACCAAGGACCAAGGTCAAATGGTTAAAGTCATTACGCTTCTCTTGTAGAATATGCGTAGTTTAAGCGAAAGTATTTATATCGGACATGTGAACATGATTCTAAAACTAATTGATGTAAAAATCTCTAATAATTCCTACCACAGCGTATTAAAAATAACTACTTATAATCCAAAATTCCTTTCTGTTTGCTATCAAACAAATGAGTGTCTCGGTTGATCAAAAAATACGTTTTTTGGTTTTAATTAAAAAATAATTTATGTAAAAATATATAATAGGACTTATACAAAAGGACTTATACAAAGAGAAACCATTTCAAGAGAAATTAACACTAACAATTTTTGATGTTAGGAGCCATACCTGGTCCAGGTAACGGAAGATATCGTTGAGCACGTAGTACTTCTTATTTGACTGAGGTGCCAACACAAACGTCTGCATGAAGCGCTGCATGGGAAGTCCATCATTCGAGAGTTCGCCCATCACCTGCAAATGGATCAATACAAATGGAGAAGACATTAAAATTCAAGGAAAATGGCAGAAATTTATTTTTCATTAATAAATGAAGCTGAAAAATTCTTTAATACTAAAGTAGCACTTAGTAAATCATGTAGTCTATAGAGAGTATGACAAAAAGTTGACTTCAATAGTCAAAACAAGTAGCTCTCATAAATTGCTGAACAATATTCTCACCTGAATGACAATTCCCTTGGCCAGAGTGGACTGTAAGTCAATGAGAAGGATCTTGGCATGACAATCTTTGTAGTTCAGTTCTTTGATGTAGTTGTATATATCAGACTGACCAATAATGGGTTCACGGTTGCTGATGTCTCCTCCATGCATGAATGATGAATTCTTGGCATAAAACCTGGCCACATATTCCATAATCATTCAGAAAAATGAACAAAATTACACTGGCACTAAATTTGTCTTACAACCTGCATACAAATTTATGAAAACAAATTCTTGATGTAGAATAAGAAGTGCATTCAATAAAATCATGATTTAATGCACAAGTTTGTTGATCACACAGAACATACTAAGCAGGTACCACACTACTGACTAATTTGCAAATTGGCAACACAACATTGCAAAGTTACCGAAATGTTCCAAAGAGTTGATATAATTACAATGATTCAACTACTTTTCAAAGCAAAATTGGCAGTGCTACAAAAATTCTCTCTATCAAAGAACTAAAACAATACCTGTGCAGCAAGTTAGGAGCTTTGTTTAGGATGGTGTAATACTGTCGGACAAACTCCATCCCAACGCAGCTTGGAGTTGGTGCTTCCATTACCATTGTATTTGTAAAGCTGCAAGAAGAATATTTTGTTGTTAATGTCATGAATGAATTGTCAGGAATTCTATTGCATTAGATAACAAAATCCAGGAAGAGTACAAAATTAAAACCAGTCAATAGGATATGCTGATATCTTCGGGGAATTTTTTCAAGCTCTTCAAATATGAAGCTCAATTGAGTTAAAGTATCTTCTCTGAATTGTTTTGCAGTTCTTCTGCTTCTCTTTTGGAGACTATAAATTACCATAGGCAAAATATGTAGCCCAACATATTATACCTTATAGGTGAAGAAATTTCCAATGAAGTCAATTCTGCAAAACACCTAACACTCTATTTGCAAAGTAAAAAGCATTCGAAATTTGAAGGCTATTTATACTCATGGTGCGCAGACCACTGGAAATGAAGCTGCTACACTTGGAAGAATTGAAGAACTAACTGCGCATGAAATAAATCTTCCAAGGCAAACGAAGAAAGCATTTTTACTATAAAAGCCACAGTGAATCCAATAGTAAACACAAAAAGTTTGTATTCACTACAGTTGCTGATATAAACCCTTCTTTACGTTGCTTGACACCTTTCTACTAAGGTTAGGTCCAGCCAGGTTAGGTTCTTCTTCAGTACGTCTCCTTACTTTTTTTCACAATTTTACTTTCAAAAATAAGCAAAGTCCGGGAAAGTGCAATTATGTTTTGTATATATATATATGTTTTCTTCTTGTTCTTCCATATTCAGGCCAAACATAGGGTATTAAGGATAGATTGAAAATCTAAGCTTAAAAAAACAGTTCCGACATCCTGACAAATCCGGAAGTTTGTAAATTTATAACTGTGGAGACTCATACTTAGGTATATAAATATGAAATTGCTAATTGTAAGCGCACATTTTGATAAAAAGTTCATTTATATTCATAATTTGTCATGTTTTAGGATTCAAATATACCAGAAGAGTTTCTTCAAAGCTATGCATTGATTCAATTAAACT